ACCAGAGGCGATGAAAATGGACGAGAGGCGATGAAATGGTCCAGAGGCGATGAAATGGTCCAGAGGCGATGAAAATGGACGAGAGGCGATGAAAATGGACCAGAGGGGATAAAAATGGACCAGAGGCGATGAAAATAGACCAGAGGCAATGAAATGGTCCAGAGGCGATGAAAATGGACCAGAGGCAATGAAATGGTCCAGAGGCGATGAAAATGGACCAGAGGCGATGAATTGGTCCAGAGGCGATGAAAATGGACCAGAGGCGATGAATTGGTCTAGAGACGATGAAAATGGACCAGAGACGATGAATTGGTCCGGAGGCGATGAAAATGGATCAAAGGCGATGAATTGGTCCAGAGGCCATGAAAATGGACCAACCCTTTGAAACACACAGATTTGGGCATAACATTATTTAACCTCAAAATATGATATATTAATTTTCTAGAAAAACTTCGAGATATCCGTTCTATTTTAGTGATAAAACCACCCGAAACATAATTCCAAACCGGATATAACGGAGTTTTTACTTACAACCCGAATTATGTAGCGAAAGAATGCGGGACAAGACTATATATAAGCTACACATACTACAACTATAAGATACGGTAATAAGCTACTATTTACCCAAAAGCAAGATCGTAATCTTCAAGTTCCCCGATAAATCTTCAAGTCAAACAACGGGTTCTTTCTTTTTATCCGTCTTTTTTCCTGAGAGAGGTTGCCACTTAAATGGTAAGCCAACTCTTAGTGAGTTAAATAGTTAAGTATTACATATCAATATTGCACATGTTTATAAACATACATAATAAACTCTTATCAATAAAAGAGTTCAAGACATCATCCAAATGCAAACCGAGACTTACAAGAAATTAAGTGAACAATTACGTACTGGATGCTAAGATCATAGGAGTCCATATTCAAATCACCATAATATACCATACCATTGATGCTCAATACAACAAGGAGACAGGATCAACAACCAAATATATTCAGCAACGTTAGAATACCAATAAATATYAAGAACCAAGAGATCGAATCGGTAAACATAACGAGGACAGTGCATCACCCCGTCCTTCACCTCCGGGGCTCATGCCAAAGTCCGAATCAGAACCGTACATTACGGGAAACCTCGCACTGCCCGCCTTCCTCTACCGGGTATGTACCAAGGTTCCCTACTCATTGCTCTTCCTCCTCTTCGAGGAATGAGTATTCACAACCGCAAAAAGTCTCACCCGTTCAACCCGGGATCTTGACTTGGCCATAAACTTCTAGCGTGCCACACGAAGTAGTACCCGTACTATGGCGTACAATTCAAGGAACAAGACAACGAGTTCGAATCCGGGAAGCAAACCGATGTACCGAGATAGTAATATGGAATAGACTCAAGAGACGGAATCAAAGACAAGTCAAGATCGTGTGACTCAATTCAAGACCAAAAACATTCGTATGGAAATATATATGTTCAAATCAACATGTAACAATTAACTATATAACTCACCGGGCAACCGTATAATACCGAAAAGCTCCAAAATGAGCTCACAAAGCAAGTCCAAGCCACCACACTTAGATTGCTTCCAAAGCATCAAAATATTTCCTAACTCCTAATTACCCCCTAGAGTAAATGTGCAAAATCTCATAAGTAACCAATATAAGAAACTCATGGTATACACATATCATATTTGAACACTTTACCTAAATTTCTATGTACAGCTGCTGCATGCAGAACTGTTTTGCCCATTTTAAACTCGAATTCATGACTTGATCATAAAATAAGTAATAAATTAGACTCAATTATCTAACTAAGGAAATTGGTCTCACCTAATTTGGATTTTTCTACGATTTTATACAGTTTTTCAAAGTATTCACACTTTCAATGCATTCTTAAGTCAACATTCTCATTTTCAAACATTTTTCTCAAACCATTTCGATTCCAAATTATTCTAACTTCTGAATCTCAACTTAATATAACATATTTGACATAAACAACCAAAATTCAACCTTTATTTTATCATTTATATTATATCCCAAATCATTGACTTAATAAAGTCAAAGTTCATATGATGAACTTGCATAAATCTTGATAATCTCTTGAATCTAATGACCATTTCATGCCATAAACACTAAAATACACTCATTTTATACACTTAAGATCAAACCCATATGAAACCCTAACTCTAACTCAACATGCAATCCATATAACAAGAACGTCAACCAAAAACAAGTGCAAAAATAGATTATACCTTACTTGATGATCAAATCCTTCAAAGATCTTGTAGTTCCTCTTTGATTTAAGTTGAATCAAGCCTATGTGTGTGAAAATCGCACCTCTAGTGTGTGTGTGTGTGAGTTCTGGACTTAAATGACAAGAAAAATGGGTCAAAAATCCAATTTATAATGTTAAAACTCGAATTGGGCCGGGTTGGCCGGCTAGGTACCCATTTTGACCATCAATACTTAAGTTATTCATAACTTTTCGCTCGGACCTCCGTTTTCTATGAGGTTTTCGCCTACACGTTCATAAGAGATAATTTATAACATCCAACAACAATACTCCAGAAAAGATCTCCCAAGAAAATCAGTTTTACGTATCTATTTGACGTAAAATTTTCCCAAATCCTCTAATATACTACTAAGAAGTATAATTCTAAAATTTCAAACCTAAACTCCCACTAAATTATAAGTTCTTTTTAACCTAATAATTAAATATATTTAGCAAATAATTTGGGCATATTAGAAATTGGATGTTACATAAATGTTCTAGCTAAAGAATCCCGATAAATGACGACTTAAAAGTAAACACGTATTTTTAGATAAACTGAAATAAAAATATAAACAATTAATTTAGAATTAAAAACATATCAATTATATTATTTTTAAAATTTTCTTTATTAAGGACAACAATTATTGAATTCACATGGTTAAGGGGCTTAGGGCCAAAAAGGTGTCACGAGCACCCTCCAAATATTTCATGTCATATCCTGGTTTTCATTTTAATAAAAGTAATTAAATTATCAGAATTCCATTACAGTTTAAATATTATACTAATGTTTTCATCTTTTTAATTAAATATTAAACTAAAGTTTAAATATTTAGTGAAGGTTGTTGCTGCCAAGACCATGACCACCAACGTGTAAACAGAATTCTACATATTCATGGGTAGACTGTTGGTGGTCGTGGTCTTGGAAGTGGGGTTTATCGAAGGGAGGGGGCCGGTCATGTGGGAATCGTTTTAGGATTTATGTTCTTTTTCCAAAACTAAACTGGTTATAGTTGTAGTCACTAATATAATTACAACATATATTAACGTAAAAACTTGAAAACTCCATAACCAAACACGACCCGAATAAATTAACAAATAAAAAGGAAAGAGAGAGAAAAAAAAACTTGAACTCGTAATAACCTAAACATTAATGTATTGGGTCGTACTTCATCAACTGTGCTTTTCAGCAATATGGTTTATCAATGCAAGAGCATTACTCGTAACACGTGCAACATAAGTGATATGTGTCCGAATCGAGCTCCGGATCCGACCCTCCATATCTTGATCCGAAAACCCATCCATACAAGTGTTCTCATCGGTCAAAGCGGAGCTGACCCATGTCTGAACATTGCTCATGTGCATCACGTACTCCTCATGAGTACCTTTACCTTTGACCCGATCCACGTTCTTGAGTTCCTTGATCGAATTTCTTACCCGATCCAAACTGTCGCTCACTTCCTCCAAGCAGTCTCCCACCGCCGATTGCTGACGTGGGTTCAGTCCATTGGATCTGGTCAGTTTCTGGAGGTAAGCTTGGGCCAACTCAGATCGGTTCAGGCTTACGATTAAGGCGGCTCGAGCCAATTGGGTTGGGTTGTGTTTGATGGTTTTGGCGTAAGGAGAAAGAGACTGAACACATAAAGGAGGGTAGGTGGTGGTGGTGCAAGAAGAGGTGATGAAGTCGGAGGTGGTGGTGGCGGAGGTTACGGCCGCGAGGAAGAGAAGGAAAAATGGGAGTCGGAGAATAGCCATAGTTGATGGACGGATGGATGGATGGATGAGGGTGAAGAGGAAGGAGGAGGGTATATTTATAGGAGTGTGTGTGTGTATATATATATATATATATATATATATATATATATATATTCCTTCAGAGGCAGAGAATTTAGAGTTATAATTGAACTGTGTTGGTTAAATGATATGATTGTCTTTAATATAAAATAGATTCTATTTACAAAAATATATTCAATTAAAATTTCAAAAGACATTTAAATATAAAGTAAATTACAAACAAGTTTTTAGCCTTCACATGTTTCATTTATAAACCATATAATTTTAATAAATTATATGATTTTGTTTTTTAATCTAAAGTCATGATTATAATTAATAATAAATTTTATCATGTTTTATTTATATCTCAATCATAATCAATGAATCATAATAGTTGTTCATAAATATCTCTATTGTTTTCTAATATAAGCATTGATTATAGTTTCTACGGTTCGTTAGAATTAGATGGTTTGTAAATAGAACCTCTCATTGATACACACACACATACTATCTTATAAAGCAGATTTACTAAAATCTTGAAAACAATTTTTGATACACTATATACCACTGGTATACGCATAAAGTCTTAAAATACCTTAATACAAGTTAGCAAACACAACGACAAGTTAAATATGCACCTCTTACTCATTATGCTCCCAAGGTATCTTTTCAAGTTCTCCAACCCCCAATAAATTTATCTACCGCTCTCCTTTTCCAAAGATGTCTTCTAATATCTCAAAGCATCCTTTCTAGTCTCTACACTAATGAAAAGAAGCCAGCGGAGAAGAATACAATCGCCACTAAGAAGGCATCGGCCGAGAAGAAACCAAAGGTTGAGAAGAAGATTCATCCAGGCATCGGAATCTCAAGCAAAACGATGAGAATCATGAACACTTTCATCAACAATATTTGCAAGGTACAATATGAACCAACAATAACACAAAGGGAAATACAAACCTCTGTAAGGCTTGTCCTTCCCGGTGAATTGGCCAAGCACGCTGTGTCAGAAGGTACCAATGCAGTGACGAAATTCACAAGTTCTTGAGTAATTCATACTCTTTGCTTGTTATAACCAGGTTTCAAACAACCTGGGTTGAGGTAACCTATACATGATTATTATTTGAATTACGTGACAACATGCATGATTACTTAATTAAAATGCATGAGTAGTATGCATACATGTGAAAGATATTATTGTGAATACCTGAAATAGGTGTGTGCATACATGGGGTAAAATATACGTGGATTATATTATATAAAAATATGAAGATGTGATATCTTCATAGTGAAGAAAAGGTGGTATTTAAAATACTAAACCCACCGCCTATATATATATATATATATATATTGGTAAAAAGGTTCCACCGCCTTTGTGAAAATATATAAGGAGAGAAAAGAGATAAGATCATATCTCATCATCTTATTTTGAAAAAGTAAACTTTTTAGAGAGAGAAAGGTGTTTAAGGCGGTGAGAGTATTCTTGAAGAAACCTGTAGCTCATCAGTGTTTGAAGAACTTGTGTTATTTGAAGAATTTGCTATGTGCTATAATCTGCAGAATCTGTGTTTGATAATGTGAGTTTTTGATAACTAAAATATTTACGTATGTTGTTATACAAACTGCTGAGTTTTTTATGTTTGATTTCAAAAGAAAAGATAGTAAAACTGTTTTAACAATTTGATGGTGATATTGTTATAAACTCGAGTTATTGAAAACTGTTTTGGAAAGATAAAGAAGAGATTGCTTCTTAAAAAAAACAGTTTTGGGAATGATATCATGTTTTGAGGATTTAAAGAGATTAGATGATTTGAGAAATCATTACAGAACAGATTGTTCTTGAGGCGTAAAAGGTTTTGAATATAAATCTATTTTGAGACCATGATTGGTTATAACTATGGACGAGGTTCACTCTGACGTATATGACTTTGTTCCGTCATTGGATGAAATAGTCTATAGATTTTGATTAAAACTATGAACAAGGTTCACTCTGATAGAAATGACTGCATCCTATCATTGGATGAAATAGTTCATAAGAATTTCAGGGAAAATAAGGATGGTCGTTGTGTGTGATGGATATAGATGTTGCTATTAAGGGGGAACTTTTGGATGCAATAAGGATGGTCGTTGTCTGTGCATTGTATAACTATTGCTATTATATCTTTTAAGATTACAACAGATTGGAGTTCTCACTTCTTGGTGATTTGAGGATTCAGAGATGTTGTTATTATTAGAAATAATAGTATTGGTGTTATGGTTACAGGAAAATATGGCCTATGGTCATTGGTTTTGGTTAAAAGTGTTTTGGAACAGAATGTTCAATTTATGAGGAATCAGAGGGGCTCTGGTTGTTCCTTGTAATGAACCAGAGGGGCTCTGGTTGGCCCTCACTATGGAACCAGAGGGTTTTGATTATTGATTTGAAAAATATACAAGTTCTTACAAAATGTACTAGTTGGACCAGAGGCTCTGTATCTATTGATAAGAGCTTCTGTGTCAAAATCAGATTTTAAGAAGCTTTTAAGAAAAGGATTTTCATACTTAGAATCTTTTTATGAAAAAACAGACCAGAGGAGCTCTGGTTGGCTTACACGTTGAACCAGAGGCTCTGGTTGGCTTACACGTTGAACCAGAGGCTCTGGTTGGTCTTGTCTTTTAAACCAGAAGCTCTGGATGGTACAACCAGAAGCTCTGGTTAACATGAACTCTTTTTAATCATTTTTAGTTATGGAAAAGGCTATTTTATTACTTACAAAGTTAGTTTGGGAACGTTATGAGAAATTACCTGAGCAAGAGGCTCTGGTCGATGAGCCAGAAGCTCTGGTCAAGAAACCAGAGGCTCTGGTAGAGGAACCAGAGGGGCTATGGTCCTCTTATATGCCGAAATATTTTCTAAGTATGGTTTTGGAACCAGAGGTCCGATGGATTCAAACGGAATATTTTCTAAATGTGGTCTTTGGAACCAGAGGTCCGATAGACTCAAACAGAATGTGGTTTTATCCTTCGTTATATGAAATGGTTTAAATATTTTGGTGATTTTCACCCTGCATTACATAAAAAGGGAACCTCACTAGACATTCATGTCTAACCCTCATTTTGTGTTTCAAAATATGTGTGCAAATAATGATAATAAGGGAAAGAGCATTCTGTGAATTATGTTCCTATGTGCTTAGTTGTATAAAGATCTTAATTAGCCATATTTTGAAGTATAAATGTCAAGATACAAGAGCATGTATTTTTGGAATTTTTGAGTTGTGCATTTTGCATTGTAGACTCTTGTATTATGGAACTTTGTGGGCTTAACATGTATTCTATGTATGAAATATGTGTTATATATGCAATGTGAGATTGGGGGTGCTACATTGCTAATCGTTTGTTTTCATATGTTCGTAATATATGTTAGGATTAGATCTTAATATCGTCTACTGATTTCATATTAGTTATGATAATTGTTTTTTCGATTTTCAACTTTTCTTAGGGTTAGTAATTGATTGATGTTGTGGATCTAGAATTGGTTACTTCAAATTGTGGATTCTGAAACATATATATGATATGATATATGGTTTTATTTAAGCCATCTTTTTTGTTCAATTGCTTTCCCCTTTTTGTCTATTCAAGAAGATAAATATGCACTAATTGATATTTACGCAGTTGATATATACAAATTATATTTCAATAAGACCATTAACCTTAAAATGAATTGCATGATGAGGTTGTCAACAAACCTGAGCCTGTTGATCGGCTTCTAACTGACTATGCTTAGAGAGATCTGAAATCAAAACTCTTTGCAAGCTACCATGGTAGAAAAACCTTGGTATAGTGAAAGTAAAAATGGTCAATGCACAACATTTGGTTTTTTCTTTTTTCCTTCTATTGTTATTAACATGACACTAGTAGTTGATTTAGTAATAACAATGTTATTATTTTCTTTTTTTGTATGCTTTTTCATTATGTATGCTTTATTGCTATTATTTCTCTTCCTCTATGCTTTTAAATTGAACAACAATTCCCGCTCATTTGTTTCAGTTAGAATGAATTTGAAGATAGAACTCTACAGTTCAAAGTCACTCTTGTACACACTTTGATTGTTATGAAATTTCAAGATAAAACGAGGTAAAATCATGAATCCATGTCCAACACAGAAAACATATGATTCCAACCCTTTTTGTCATAAAGAATAAAATAAAATTTACCAACATGTGGTACTTTTAGTTGGACCTCTACGAATCTTGTAGTTGCCATTGGGGTGCCTATAGACACACTTCAAAGGAGGATAAGATTCTTGACAAGCAAGTCATGATAGGTTTTTGCTTTATACATTAAATTAAGTAATAACATTCGTTTTCATACAATTACTTGTGTGTTTTCTTTCAAATGTATAGACCAAAGTCTAAAGGTGGCCCTTTTCCTTGCTATTGTGATGGTATATGTTTCTATTTTCTTCTACTTCAATTTTAATCCCTTTAGCCTTCTTCTTTTTATGTCGAGGGGATTTTGTTGACTTCAAGTAAAGGCTTTAACGACCACTTGTATACGATGGTTGATGGCATGTCTGATGGAGGTAACTCGGTCATTAATAAAGAGGATTTGGTAGCTGATGATGATGCCAAACAATCGATAGCCTATGTGAGAATCAGTTACGAAAAGAAGTGACTGTGTACGAGGTATGCTATGTCTATATGATTATTTCTTTTTCCAAAATTAATTGCATTACGATTCTTAGAGCATCTCCAACAGATTCTCCAAAATGGAGAAATAAAAAGTCAAAATCCCTAAAAAAATACATTCATCTCCAACAAATTCCTTATTTGGAGATTACACAATTAGTTATATTTTTAAAAAAATACAAATCATAAGATATCATTTATCTCTCCTAAACATTAAATTCAAGCAATTTCATTGGTAGAATGAATAAAAATTATTGTTCTCTCATAAGTAATCATTTTTGGAAAAATCTCCAAATTTGGAGATGTTCATCCTATCTCTCATGCTTTCTCCATTTTGGCGAAGGTT